AAGACCACAAGTGTGTGTCGAACTTTTCATTACCTGATGGGACACACTTGTAGTGTTGTAAAAATGCAAGCGTTTACATAGCTTTATTTTAATTTGAAATACTTTGCATTTTAAAATCAACTTCTAAATGTCTGTTCAGTAGTCCCTATAACATGACCATTTTAATTTGTGGTGCTTCTAATTAAGTGATAAAAAGCAGTTGCAAATGTTGTACAAAATAAATATCACCACTACTCATCTTTGCACCAATAAAATGTAAAAACAGTGTTTTTCTAACAAATTATATGTAATATCTAATTATTATATTAATATTTAACTTGCATTGGAAAGGTTTCTGGGGAGATCTTGGCAAAAAGTCTCACGATTTATTTCCAGAACATGATGCATGATGGGATACACTAAGCCTCGAATAGCGCTCCGGAGCGGTATTTCGAGATAGTGTGGATTTAGTGTGCGTTAAGGGCACTGCGCTCTGGCATTTTTTAAGTTTGATTTTAGCTAGTAATTTGATGCTATAAAAACAGGGCGTGTCATTATGGTTGATTGGGTCGGCAGGAGTTTGATACCGCGGCTCCACCTCACGACACTACTTCGCAGACTCTGGCTCCAACTGAATCTCTAATGCGCAGACTCTGGCTCCAAATGACGTCATTTACTCAAGATGGCAGCGGCCATACTGAGATGCTTTGGCTTCACTTTTCTATAGTGGAAGGAATAGGAGACACGTCGTCCATCTTTTTTTACCGTCTATGGTTTGAATGGGTTTAGGGGGGGTTTATAACTCATCCGTTTAAATTATATTAAGCCTTAAAGTTTTGTATAATTAAGGGCGTGGTCACTTGAGTGACAGGTGGATTACAGCTACTGTCACCACCGTCGAGCTAGGTGGGCGTGGTTTCAGAAATCAGTTCCCGCCTCTTTGCCCATTTTCTATTATCTGGGAGTGACACGCGGTGACGCGCTGCCAAGATGGCGACGACCAGCTCTGCCCACTTTGACGCTCTTTAGAATCCTACGGGTGACATCATGGACACTATGTCCATGTTTTTTTACAGTCTATGGTTCTCTATGGAAGGCCGTAAAGACAGATATTTCTTTAGACGTTATGTGTACAGACGATGGCAGTCAAATGTGACCAAACACCTTGGGCCTCATTCATGAAACACAAGCAGAACAAATTTTTGTGTAAATCGTTCGTAAAGCTGTTCTGACGTCTCTGTCTTCTCCAAAATAAAAGCTTGCATATGGATCCGCATGTCTCACGTCTTGTCAGCTCCGTAACAATACTGTGTTTTCCTTTTTACTATTATTCAGTACAGCAATAATATAATCTGCAAATGTAAGACTTTTATCAACTAATTAATTAGCTACTTTTGTTAGGGATGTACCAATTAGTCTTTTAATTATTATGGAAATACTTTTCTATAAAATGGCCAGAATGAGGCATAACAATAAACATTTCCTATGGCTGATATTAGTGCTATTGCTAGATTTGGCAGACTACAAAAAGACAAATTTTTTAGAGAAACAGTTTTAGCCTACTTGCAGAGAATGATGACTGGTTGATTAACAGATGAAACTGCATTAACAGCGTCTGTAATGTGCTGCCAAGCTTCCTTTTTTAGGACATGACGTACTCCACTACTTGAAAATAAAATGCTGCATTTTGAATGCACTTCCTATAACAAAACTTAAATTTTTGTGTCTGAGAATTTTTTCTTTTTCATTCACTTTTGAGAGGACATGTTGAAATCCTTATTTTCATTTTATAATATGATGCCCATATAGTTGTCAGTCAGAATTCATGGGCGGTAATTTATGGTAGTTATGAATGAGCGCGCACGCTCGCCCCATTTACATTTATTTGGAATTCATTAACATACACGTTTAACTATCAAATCTGATGTTTACGAAGCGTTTGTGAATCCGGAGGAGAGTTTTACGTGCAAATTACTCTGAATTTACTCATATATTTACGCAAGTTTCATGAATGAGGCCTAGGGTTGGGTACCGTTCACATTTTAACCGGTACGGTACCGGTATCGGTATCTGAATTTCGGTGCCGGTACCCAACGATACCTATTTTCAGTACTTTATTCTGTGTACTTACAAAAACATTTATTTCAGTGAATTTCAACATTTTGAACAATAGGGCCCTACAAACTTTTTATTTATTTCTTTTCCCCCCCCAGACATTCTTGTTTTGATTTTTCTGAAAATAATAAATGTTAAAATGTATAAAAAATTTATTTGAAATCAAATTAAAATTAAAGGAAGAAAAACTGTGTGAATATTCCTTTAAAACATTTTTAATAGGCTAATAATTGTATTATTTTTTTCTACAATTAAGTGATTAATCTGGTTGTAATATTAAATTTTTTATCATTTAATTGTTTTATTTAAATTTGATAGAAAATTGTATATTTAAAGATGTACGTTATACTGTACAAAAGTAATACAAGAGTAATATATTTCTGTTACATGTTAAACCGTACTTTTATTTTGACAGGCATGAAGCTACTGTGTGTATACAGTAAGATGATGCTAGTTTTCTCAAATGAAACGTTAAAATTCTCGCGAAGTGACTCTCACAGCAGCTCTGGGGAATACGTTTTTGTGTTCACGCCGTCCTATAGTGAGACGCAGAGGCCGGAAATCACCACAAGCGTCACGCGTGCTTCAGTATTTGTGTAGTAAACAAAACTGCATTTC